ATCTGAGGCAAACTGTAAACTCCAAAGACCTTGGGTGGCTCTGCTCCTATGACATTGTTCTTGGTTGTAGTTCCCGTGGCTTCTCTTATGGTATGACTCTGCTCTCTCCTTGCAGTTCTCCTCAGATGGTCTATGTTCCTGGATTGCCCAAACTTCTGTGGTCTTCGCTTCACTTTTGGCTTCACATTCAGTTTCACACTTTGCCTACTCAAGGGCACAAGGTCTAGCCTCATGGGTCTTCTTCTGAAATCTTGGTTGAAGCCTTTCTGACCCCACAATTCTTGCATTCTGCATGCATCTAAAGTATTCACTGTGTGGATGATGCCAAAGTCTGCTGCCAGCTGGAGTAGCGGCCAGGCTTCCTTCTCTCTGGGCTGTGGGGACTGGATGCCTATGAACGAAACCCAGGAACAACTTCTCTAGGCTGCTGACTCTCTGGAACATGGTGCTCTGGGTCTCTCTTCTCCAGGCACTTTATCACCATTACAACTTTGAGGTTTCTGAGGCTGGAGTCCTGCTGGTTCTTGTGATGTCCTTAGAGCATGTTTTCTGGAATATATGGCCTTTTATTATAGCTCATTTTTCCAGCAACCAATTTCTCCTTTATTCTATCTTTCTAGTTCACAACTTGAGTGGAGTTTTATTTCCTGCCCAACTCACGAAAAAAATTTTTAATCATTCTTCTGAGCTCTTTGTTCTTGATTCTCAACATAAATCTGTTTAAAAGCCTTCAACAAGAGCCATGCCACTATCTCAATATTAGACTACCTTAAAATTTCTTCTGTCAGATTAAGTAGTCTGCCACCTTTAATCTCAGTTTCAGGTAAAATCTCTAGATAATGAGCAAAACGAAAACAAACTTTTTGCCAAGGCATAGGGCACATCATCTGGAGGCCAACAGTTGATGCAGATCTTTTTTGTTAAATTTAAAGAGAAAAAAAATAACAGTAAAGCAGAGTTTCAAAACAGGATAGTAGGAGAGTAAGAGTAATAAATACATGGCATATTTTTATCTTTGTAGTAGTTATCTAGAATATAAGATATAGGCTTGAAAAATCGATGAAATGATATAAGCACAAACCTTTCTTTTCAATGAACTAAGAGTGAGTAGCTGTATAACTGTATATAAATATATTTTTCATTTTTTCCTTTCCTTCCTTTTTCCTTTCTCCCACCAGTTTGTAATTCTTTTGAACAGTTTATTCCCAATTCCTAATCTCTATTGTACATTTTAAATCTTATTTACTTATTGAATTTCTCATACTATTGAGACAATATAATGTTTACACATGTGGGTATGATTTCATATATGAATATTGACTCTAGTTGTACCTATTTACCTATAAGAGTTTCAGATTTATCCTTATTTAGGGCTTAGCAGCACTCCATTATATAAAAAGAAAACATTTTAAAAAAATCCATTCTTTGGTTGATGGGCATTTGGGTTGTTTCCAAGACTTAGATATTACAATTTGTGCTGTTATAAGTATGGGTACAATATACTTCTGTGGTATGATTCACTTAATTATTCTTGAAAGTTATGCAGAAGGGAAGTAGCTGGGTCAAATGGGACTTCTAATCCTAGTTTTTAAAGGAATCTCCACACTTATTTCCACAGAGGTTGCCCAAGTTTACACTCTCACCAGTAGTGAAGAGTTGTTTTACTTCCACAGCTCTACCAGCATTTGTTATTGTATATTTTGATGGTAGGCATTCTTTCTGGGATGAAATGAAATGTCAGTATTGTTTTTGTGTATCTCAAATGACCAGTGATGTTAAACAGTTTTTTTGTATTTATTTGTCGTTTGTATTTCTTCATCTGAGAAATGTGTACCTATATCAAGTTCCCATTTTTGGACCAGGTCTTTAAATTTGATGGGTCTAATTGATTTTTTAATTCTTTATATTAAATATAAGTCCTTTGTCCGAGGGACAACTGGATACAAATTTTTCCCACTCTGTGGATTATCTTTTCACACTGTTGGTGATTACTTTTGTTGTGAAAAAGCTTTTAATATGGTGAAAGCCCATTTGTTGATTCTTTGTAGTACTTCCCTTACGGTATGCGTTTTGTTCATAAAGTCACTGGCTATACCTATGTCTTTGAGATTTCTACTTATTTTCCTTTCTAGTAAATTTAGTGTTTCTGTTTTAATATTTAGATCTTTGATCCACTTTTATTTTAGTTTAGTAAATAGTGATAGCCATGGGTCTGTCTAGCTTTGGTCTTTGGCTTATGGGAAGTCAGTCTTTATAACATCATTTACTAAAGAGACTATTTCGTTCCAGTGAACATGATTGTCTCCCTCATCAATGATAAGGTGGCTGAGTATGTTTAGGGTTGCACCTGTATCTTCTGTATCTTCTATTCTGTTTTGGTGATCCTCATGCCTGTGTTGTTTTTTTTTTTTTTTTTTTTTTTTTTTTTTTTTCCCGGTACCATGATGATTTTATCACAGTAGCTTTGAGTATAATCTCATGTCTGTGACTGTGATGTTGCCTTTTCTTTGTTGCCAGGAAACAATGCAATCCTTTTTCCTGTAAGAAACCTCCTAACCTTCATCTTCACTGGCAGAATTTCTATCAGGTTTCTGGTCTTCTGAGCTTTGAACAGTATCTCCCATATAGAACAGCCTCAGTTACTACAGCTCTACTTTTTCAGCTGGTATCTCCAAACATTTCCTGATTCTTTCACTTTCCACAAGCCAGATGCAAAGGCTCCTAGACCACATGGTCAGGTAGTCACGGCAATGATCTCACTTCTCTGGTACAAATTTTGTCTTAGGTACTTTCATTGTTGCTGAGACAAATACCAAATACCCAAAATTAAAGAAGGAAATGTTTATTTAATTCTTAATTTGTAGAGGTTTCAGTCCTTAACTGGCTGGTTCCAAGGCACGGTGGCATGACACAAATGTAACAAGAGGAAAAACAGTTCACTGTGGGGAAAAGGCAGCAAAACAAGTTAATGGTACAAAGTTCTTTTTATCCCTGTATCTTATCCAGGATACTCAGGATGGGTAGCACTCATACCCTTAATCCTTGCATTGAGCCCTTGAGCCTAGCATTGCCTAGTGTTGCTATGTGAAATCAATCCCAGTGTCACACACTTTAGATTCAGCTACCTCTGAAAAAGCCTCACTAGGACTGCATGAGGCTTTGGAGGGACATCTAGACATAACAGAAAATTTTACTGAGAAATGAAAAATACAATGTGCCATGCAAATAAAAGTAGCAATCATCTAAGATATGTGTCTGAAACTAAAAAGAAGTAAGCCAATTATTGAAAAAAAATTTTAGGGCTGGTGAGATGGCTCAGTGGTCTAAAGCACCTACTTAGAACAAGCTAAGCTCAAGCAAAGCACAGAGACCTCGGTTCAATCCCCCAGCACCACATGCTGGCCTGCCCGCCCCCTGGTAGGCTGAGCTGGCCACACACTAAATAAATAAATAAATAAATAAATATTAAAAAAAAGGAAAAAATTTTGAAGTACAGTCTCCCACCCACATCCTCATTTTTTCCCTATTTATTTATTTATTTATTTATTTTTCTGTATTTTAGGGAAGGGTCTACAGGTTGTTCAGGGTCTCACTACTAGATGGGACTTGTAGTGATTCTCCTGTTTACAGCCTCCCAAGTGCTGGGATTACAGGCACGTGCCACTATGGTCAGTCTCAATCGCTGTTTTAGCATGCCCTGGGGTTGGGGCTGGCACACTAGACCTGCACCTGACCTCTTTTATTTTTTTAAGCCCCTTATCAGGGCCCTAATATCCTATGTAGTAAATAACTAGTGCAGAACCTGGCTTAAAGACCAATCACTGTACCATCATTTAGTAAATATTCCAACTCTTCTAATGGGTAAGCACTGTGGACCTGTACTAGTGATCATACCTTTTCCTCCTGCTAGAGTTTGGATGTGGAATGTCCCACAAAAATCTGTGCATTAATGACAGAGCCCCTACAATGGGAAGTGGTGGCATATTTAAGAGGAACAGCCTACCAGGTTGTCCTTAGGATTTTGGGGTTGTTCACTCAAAGGTGATTGTGGAAACTTGGCCCTCTTCTTTTTCTCTTTTGCTTCCTGGAAATGAGGGGAATGCTTTTGCTAGGTCATGTGCTCATTCCATGATGTGTTTCCTTATTTCAGTTCCAAAGCAATGGAGCCAACTGATTGGAACTTCCAAAACAGAGAAAAAATAGCTCTTTTGTTCTCAGGTGTTTGTAGTGGTGATGGAAAGCTGACCACTGCCCTGACTCATACAGTGTACTTGGGCTTTAGACTAAAGCAACACAGAGGGCAGAGTTGAGGACAGAACCTAGTAGTGATTCCACCTAGCCCCTCATTGTGCAGATGAGAACGATGAGGCTAGAAGTGGCATTCATTTCCTTTTTCTCATTTAACTTTCAGAGTTGGAAATTGAAGAACGCAATGCAAGCTGCACAAAAAAGCAGAGGTTTGCACATTAATCCCAGACTCAGGGAGCCAAAAGCCAAAGTTTGTAAGTACCCATGTCTTCAGGTGGCCCTTTGAATCCTGCAGAACTTACACAACAACTCAAGATCATTCCAAACCCAGTGATGTTTCAGTGCACACATGGAGTTAAGGGCAACAGAATCTGGCTTAGCATAGAACTCATCATTTGTTCTTGCTCAGATTTCCTTTTTTTTTTTTGTATTTTAGGGAAGGGTCTATAGGGTGTTCAGGGTCTCACTAATAGATAAGACTCATAGTGATCTGTCTGTTTACAGCCTCTCAAGAGCTAGGATTACAGGTACACACCCACCATTCCCAGTCTCAATTGCCATCGCAGCATACCCTGGGGGTGAGGCTGGTACAGCAGGCCCCAGGGATCAAACCCCCAGCCCCTGTACCTGCTTGCAGGTGCTTTAATCCACTTGAGCTATTTGGCTGCCCCTTCAGATTTCTTTTTGACTCCAGACAATGCCACTTATTATTTGAAAATGCTACTCATAAATGTGTCTCTTTCCTTTTGCAGGGAAGCTGGAGACTGTTGTTAGTCCTAGACTGTGTATGATCAAGAACATCTACAGACTTTCATCATTCTTCTGTTTTCATTTGTTTTCTCTCCATTTCAATTGCCTGAATTTTACTGTCTGTGGTAAGATCTCTGGGATAATGTCATGTACCTCTGGTAATCCCTCCAGTGATTGTAGGCTGTGCACTTCCAGTGATGAGTGGAAAAGGAGGAGGGCAGGATTTTCTGGGCTCAGCCAGAACTTCACAGAGATAGCTACTCTCTGTAAACTTCCCAGGGGCTGGCTTGATTTCACAATTTCACATCCACTTCATTTACCATGCTGGCTTTCTCCAAAAAGTCTCTGCCTGGTATATTTTAATGTTCTATGTGGTCAATTGTAAAGTAAGATTTAAAACTATGAAGCTAAAATATACAGTTTTCTTTTTCATTTTATAGGACTTTAATGGTTAATTTTACCTTTAATTGTAAAAGAATGAAATAAACAAAAGGTGGTAGACTTATGAAAAAAATTAAATTATTTTATATGCATTAAAGTGCTCTACAATGAAAATATATTTACTAGAAACAGATTTTAAAGCATCTCATGAGGTGTGATAGGAATCGTTGAGCATTGTGACCTTGAATCTTTAAGCCATCACTTCTACAATGAAGTTAGCACTGACTTAGAAATTCTTGACTACTTTGAAGTTCTATTACTCTGTGAAAAATCCTCACTCATCACCATTAGAAGTGGACTTAAAAATGAATTGAAAGAAAAAACCAGAGCTTTTGCAAATGGGAAGGAGCTCAAGAGTTGGAGGGAGCAGTGAGAGAAGAGTAGGAATAGGGGATAAAAAAACAAGAATTAGGATGTGGTCTACACATACATCAACTCCCACAATAAATGCAATCACTGTTATTGCAAACAGGAACAAATGAAAAAGAGAAGTAGATTTCTAGGTCCCAGGATATGAGTTCCATATTAATTTTTATCATCTACAACCCAAGATTTGGAGCTAGAACTTTCTATGGAACCTTGATCTGAGCTGTGAAGGAGTCCTCCAGGACAGGTGTGGACAGCATCAACAGTTCGTTTTTCTGTTTCTTCAGTGTTTTGCTCCGGATGACTAAGCGAAATGCTCTTTGTTCTGTGTTCCAGAGTCAGAGACATCTGTGCCACGCGGCACATAGGTTTATAACTCTGGCCAAAGGTTTCAACAGATACAGATTTTTTCAATCCGAAGTCCATCTGTGTGTGTGCTTTCAGAAATTAAAATGGTACACTTCTGTCTGCTTCTCTCTTACCCCAGGAGCCTGGGGAACAGCAGAAGTCCTGAAGGACTTTTTATAGCTCTACTGATAATGACAGGCTCCAACAGACTGGTGCTGCCTTGGGGACATACCTGGGCTTTACTTCTCATTGTCTTTTTTCAAACTGAGGTGGTGTTTGCATTGAGAAGGGCAGTCCCAAAACAAACAAATTATGACTGCTATATTTCCTAAGCTGGTAGAAGTAGAAATAACATATAAAGTCTTCTGGTTCAGAAAATCCATTATAATATTGTAATTGGAGGATCTACATAGAAAAAAGCATGAGTTAAAAACAAGGAGTACAAGTGCTAGGATTAGGTCTAGGCATCTAGAATATGTAGAGAACATTACACAATGTCTTATTTAATACCCAGAATCCAGGAATATGACATGAGATGTAAATCAGTACCTTCAATGGCTCAGTTATCCTGACCTCCCTCCTCCCATGCAGATGGGCAACATCCAAGGTTCATGAGTTCCTCCACACCTTGTGGGTGTCACTGAGCAATTTTTTTTTTTTAGCATCTCACACACAAATCTTCCAGGGTACCCAAAAAGGGAAACGTGGTTCAGATGTCTGAAATCTATTAAACAACACTTCTTGGAACAAATTTTACTCAAAGCCAATTTAATGATACTGAAGCCACTTTAGTGAGCCAATATGTGTAAGAAATCCATTTTGAGTCTAACCCCCAAACTAGTGAAACTCATTGTACAGTGTGACTTACCACAAGGTTTTGAGGCAGAGTCCAGGCAGGAAGTTAACCTTTCAATTACGTAACCCGGGAAGGTGCCAGTTGACCTAAGAAACACCTGAAAATGAAACCCTATCCACCAGCATTGGAAAAGTCTGCCTTCTTACATTTTGATAAGAAATCCTTGAAAACGAAAGTGAATGGCAACAATAAGTCTCCATTCTGTTTCATTCTCGAAGTCTCCCATCTAGTAGGAATACAAGCAAAAAGTAGCAATCTTTAAAAAAGAATTTAAGTAAACTCCCAATCCAGACAGAAGGTGAGGGTCACAGAAGGCTACCACTGTCTAGTTAAGAAATTCAGAGTACAGTTGACAATCTTGTTTTGAATATGATGATTACCTTCTTAATAAATCAAACTCTTCCAAGAACTACTCTAAAAGTCATTTCTATTTTCAGAAACACTCCATGCAGCCATTTGCATCCATAGTGAATGGAAGAAAGAGTAAGAAAGAGTCATTGTTTTATGGTTGTTTAAAAATTGCACATACTTTGGGGTTACAGTGTGATAATTCAGTACCTGTGCATGAATTGATATGGAATGATCAAATTGTGGTAACATTTCAATTTTCTTAAAAACACTTATTATTTCTTTGTGTTGGGAAATGTCAAAGCCTTCTAAGTTGCAGTTTCTTATGAAATATCCAATAAATTATGATTTATTGTGTTACTATTTTTAAAAGTGATCTCAATAACTTTCTGCTGAGTTAACATTCTTCCCTACCCTATATGTTTTCTCTCTCACTTTTTTTTTTTACCAGTTAAGCTCTTTCTTGTCTTCCAAACCATGCCCCTGCTCTTATCTTCATATAATTTCATCATAAATCTTTTTCTAACCACCCAAACTATTTATATACTTGAGATATAATTTCTTCTGGAAGATAAAGGCATAATGG